TTTTTTTAAAGCAAGTTTTTGGTACTGGGAAGATATGCTAAGCAGGAACTTTACTGCTGAGCTATCCAAATTTCTAAAAGTAAATAAATAAAAACCTTCATACCTTGAAATAGGAAAGAAAGGCTTTTTATCAAATTCCTTACAAATGAGTATAAAGACAAAAGGAATCTTGGTTTGGTGTAGGGTATATTGCAGTGTAACTCAAATAAAAGGATACTTCAGTTTATTTTAAAGGAGGAGATGATTGTCAAGTAGAGAAACCTAAACCTGGCACCTTTCCTTCAGTATAAAAAATTAAACACACCAAAAATACAGGAATGGATACTACAGAGGTCAGTCCTTTTAAGAAAATTCCAACCAGTTCAATATAAACATTCATCTGCAATATTCAGGGCACTAAAATAGGTTCTATGAGGTAAACAAAAGATGAATATAGTTTCATTCTTGCCATTGAGGTTTACGAACTAGCAGAGAAGGGAACATAAAGTGGGAAGTAGATGACAGGGCCATCATAAGAGAGAACAGTTGCACCTGAGGTTATCTAGAATCGCTTAGGGGGTAAGGATAATCAGTGTCAATGTATATTTTAAATACTATAGATGGATAAAATGCAGAAATTAGTAATATAAAGGTAAATAAATATATGACTTAATGTACTGCCACTGCAACAGAATTCCTTACACTGGGTAACTTGAAAATAATAGAAATTTATTCTACAGTTTAGGAGTCTAGGAAGTCCAAGATCAAGGCCCCAGCAGATGCAGGGTCAGCTGAGGTCTTGCCGTCTGCTCCAAGGTGTCACTGTGTTGCTGCATCATGTAACAGAAGGGGTGGAAGAGAAGGGAGAGCTCTAGAGCATCACTGATGAGGGCATTAATCCTACAAGAGCAGAGCCAGCCTGACTTAACCTCCCAAAAAGCTGTGCATCTCACAGTAGTGATTCAGTTCTTTATGAACTTTGTACACACATTCAAACCAAAGTAGTATACATGTATGTATATTTTCCAAACTGAGCACTAGGAAATTAAGGAATTGCTGACAACACAGTAACAGTTGTCTCAGTTACTCATCTCTCATTGCTAGGACAAAATATCAAACACCCAAAATTAAAGAAAGGTTTATTTAGCTCACAGTTAGTAGAAATTTCAGTCTACTCAGCTAGCTCTAAGACTGAGTGGCACATGGCACAGAGCCAAGGGAGGGGCAACAGCTCAGGCAGCTAGCAAGCCTCTCTCCCCTCCTCACATTGTAATGAAGACCCACTCCAGGGTCAGGGTGTAGCACTCACACCTGCAGTAATCAATCAATCACAAACTCCAGAAGCTGCCCTTGACTGCATGAGGCTTTGGGGGAGTACAAACCTTAACAGTAAACAGATATCATGCCTGATGCTGGTTTCTGAATATGATACCCCAGTTAAAGAAATTGAAGCTTCTTAGAGAAATGTGAAACTGAGATTAGGAAACTAAAAAATGAGCCCACAAAAGCTTATTGTGCTTGAGACAGGGCATGGTGGCGTGCACCTGTAATCTCAGCTCTTGAGAGGCCCTAAACAGGCAGATCACTATGAGTCCAGTCTAGTAGTGAGACCCTGAACACCCTGTAGACCCTTCCCTAAAATACAAAAAAAAAAAAAAAAAAAAAGGATCAAAAGTTTAGCTCCAGCCTAAGAAACTTAGTGAGACCTTCACTCAAAAATAAAAAGTAAAAAAAATACTTTTTTTTAACTAGGCAAATGGACCAGATGTATAGTTCAGTGTGACGGTCCTGGGTTTGGTTCACAGTAACACACACAGACACAAATGTGCCTCGTGGAAATACATTCTTTTTCTTTTCTGTATTTGATATAAGTCTCACTACGCAACTTGGACTCTGTGATGCCCCTATTTTCAGCCTCCCCTGTGCTGCGCAACCATGCCTGGACTCTGTGGCCAGCTCAGCCCCCCTGAGGGCAGGGCTGGCACAGCGTGTGGTGCCGGGGATCGAACCTTGGTCCTTGGGCTTGCTAAGGAGATGCTTATTCCTCTGCGCTATTGCACCAGCCCTTGCGTTATCATTTTAAAAATTTACTTCTGTGATATGTCTTTAGAATCTTACCAGTTTTTTTCATTTTCGTAATTGAGGCTAGATACTGTGGATCCACATAAGCCATTTGATTTATGATGAAACCTTCATTTGTGAGAATAATTTGTTCTGCTCACAATCCAAAGCATTGTGTATCAAAGCAGCAAGAGAGGAAGAGAAGGAAAGGAAAACTCACTGTGATTATGTGACAAATATATCACTCACTTGTTAAGTTAAAATTTCTTAGAAATGTTTGTCTTGCAGAACATTGGGGAACAATTTATTTGCCATCCAAGATTTGACTTCATTTTGTAGTGTGTAGTAACTATAGAAATACTCCTGAATTTTTTTTTTTTTTTTTTTTTTTTCAGAATTTGCAGCAATTCCCCATATGGAGGATAATGCAATTAAATTCTTAGGTGGAGAATTTCTGTTAGTATTTTGTGCTCGCCCTCTTTCTCCTTAAAGTTCTACTTCTACCTCTCTTACCTTTTCTCCAACTTACACCCATGAGCTCTTTTGACAATTTACATTTCTGTTAAACAACAGTAGTTTTTACTTTTTGGTTGAAATACATACTTAGAATGTTTCTGTTACTTGTTTATATAAAACACACATTTTTAAATGAACCAAAAATCACTAAGATCTATCTTTTGAATTTGGTTGATATTAAAAGTTGCCTAGAAATGGCAGTGTATGATGGTTTGCATCGATTTTCATTCTCATGAAACCTTCTGGAGATATGTCTGAGACTCCTGTGTACAGAAAAGCTTCTAGTTCTTAAAGAATGACATCTTATTCTGACAATTATATACGTGCAAGTGATATGCCAGTCTCTGAGTGTAACACTGGTCTGTGTAGGCATATAGAATGAACCGGTTCACTCCTTACTCACATGCTAGGTGCCTAATGACATCTGTCATTTTACATTTGTGGGATTTGATTGTTTTGGAAAGTGCCGTTTGAGTAGTTACTTTATTTCTCTTGCTTGTAAACATTTGACCCTTGACTTTATTTAAATGAGTTCATAAATTCAGAGACTAAATTATAGCCTTGAGATTTTGATGTTTTCTATGTTTACTATGTTAATCTGATATTGATTTGCCCCAATGATTTTTTTTCTCTTTAGGCACCAGAATTTCCAGAGTTCACCACTAAAGTGCAGGAGGCTATCAATTCCCTGGGAGGCAGTGTCTTTCCTAAGCTTAACTGGAGTGCCCCACGGGTAGGGTCTCACTATTCTAGTTTTGTTATTTTGCTTCGTGATTTGTTCCAATAGGAAGGGTCTGATTGTACTGAATTCTATGGGAAAACCTCAAGAATTTATTATTATTCATCTGTTGTTTTATTTTTCTGATTTTGTTGTATATTTTCTGGGGTTGGTGAAATATGTATATTCTGCCAAAAGACAGTCTTACCTCTTGTGTTGCAATTAATTGTGCTAGAAATCTGAAGCTCATTTGTTGCTCTTTCCAAAACTTCAGCTGTTTGGCTAGGGAGATAGCTCAGTTGTCTAAGTACCTACCTGGCAAATGCAAGGACCCGAGTTTGATCTCTAGTTACCACATGACCTGCTGGCGCTGGAACCCCAGGCACACCATGCCATCCATCAAAACTGGGTGTGGTGGCATACACCTGTAACCCTAGCACTGGAGAAGCTGAGACAGGAGGATCACTACAAGTCCAAGCTGCATAGTGAGACCCTGTATCCAAATAAAAAAAAAAAAAAGAAAAAGAAAACAAAAAAATACATATAATTTGAAAAATCAGCTTATTTTTCTTGAATATAATTTCTTATTTTAACATCCTGAGTGTAACACTGGTCTGTGTAGGCATATAGAATGAACCGGTTCACTCCTTACTCACATGCTAGGTGTCTAATGACATCTGTCATTTTACAGACAGTAATTTTGCAAAAGGTAAGGTATGGGGTGGGGTGTCTCACTTTTATTTAATCCAGTAGAAAACAATTTTATGTCAGCAAAACTCATTTAAGAAATTGAAGGCTATTGAAGCACAGTGGCACATTCTTATCTGTAATCCCAGCAGCTCCAGAGCCTGAGACAGGGAGATCAAAGGTTTGAGCCCAGCCTAAGCAACTTAGTGAGACCCTGTCTCACATAAAAATTAATAAAAGAGGGTAGGGATGTAGCTCAGTGTGAAGGCACTGCACTCAGACTTTAGTACAGAGAAATTGGGGGGGTTTCTTTGCATTTTCACAATTCATCTCATGCTTTTTTTATTCTAAGATGAGTAAGTTGTATATAATCTAATTTGGGGTTTAATTTTTGAAAATTAGTTATACATGTACATAGCTTAAAATTTTCAAATACAGACTTGCTACAAAAATCAGCAGGTCCTGCCACCTGTTTCACTTCACCATTTCCTGCTCTCCAAAAAAAATTTTTTTAATGTATTTAGTACAGGTTCTCACTACACAGATCAGACTCAATAGTGATCCTCCTGTTCTCAACCTCCCAAGTTCTGGGATTATAGACGTGTGTCACCATGCCCAGTCTCAATCACTATCTTCGTGTGCCCCAGGGTTGGGGCAGAGGCGGAGCCGGCACTGGTGTACCAAGGGATCGAATCCAGGCCTCTGGGCCCTGCCTAAGCAGGCACTTTAGTCCACTGAGCTATCTGACCGGCACTAACAGGTGTATTCTTTAAATGACTTAGTTATCTTGTCATTTTTAGGCATATTCCACTAAGCTTTGTACCTGATGGTCCTGTTTTTGTTCCTGTGTCTGAGACACTTCACCATTTTAAGTTGTAATGGCTCAGAATATCACACTTATTTTATTCCAGATTTGATATAGGGATAAAATAGGTCTTATCTACCCCAATCTTCCAAGCACCAATTTTCAGCTGTCACTATCCAGAAACAGAAAGTGAGTTCTTTTATTCTTGGAGAGCAGCTAGTCTGGTTGCCTCTTTAACCTTTTAGCTGAAATGTGTTTCTTTTAGCTGAAATGTGTTACTTTGATTCCCCCTTCTTACAACATCAGTAAAAAAGTATTAGCAAGTACTTGGTCCCAAGCTAAAATATGAGAAGCCTACTACCTCATTGTTCATAACTGAGTGTGTTCCCTGCAGTGGTCATATTTTTTGTTATTGAAATATATAATTTAATATTTGACAATATTACTAAAACTTTGAGATTTTTCTTTTAACCCTTGAAGTGAGAGGCATTTTTTTGTTTCATTTACTGGCCTAAATTTCATGCGTAGGCAGTAACATGTCATATGTACTAAATAGCATGTGCTCTGTTATCTAGGATGCATACTGGATAGCAATGAATAGTTCTCTCAAGTGTAAAACCCTCAGTGACATCTTTCTACTTTTCAAGAGTTCTGACTTCATCACTCGTGATTTCACTCAACCGTAAGTATCTCTTGCTCCCTCAGTGTCATTAGTTTGATTACTGCATGAATTTTTCTGATGATGAAATTTCATTAGTTCTAGTATGATTATGAACATTTATTATAAAATAACTTCATGTTCCCAAAATAACCTAGTAAAGCAAACTTCTTCCATTATAGTAAAAGCTATATAATGAATACTCCTAAATATCAAGGACTATATTTGTATATTAAATATTTTAGCACCTTTTTGTTATTATGAAACCAGTGTATGTTGAAAAACATATAGGATCTAGAGCTAAATAACACCAGGAAATGTAAAAGCATTCATGATCTTTTCACAATTGGCTGTATACTTCCAGAATTTTGTTTTGTGTATAATTATGATATAAATATACCTGCCTCTACCTCTATAAGATTTCAAAAAAAAGAGCCATCATATAGATCATATCACTTAGGAGAATGCATGTTACTTTTCTCATTGCTGACAAAATACCTGACACCCAAAGTTAAAGAGGGAAAGTTTTATTGAGGCTTACAGTTTGTAAAAATTTTAGTCCATAGTCAGCTGGTTCCAAGAAAGGGTGGCTTGGCACACAGCACTGCAAAGTTCTCAGTTCATGGCAGAGCAGGGCAGGAAGAAGGCAATAAGCAAACGACACCAGTCCTCTTTCTTTCCCTTGTATTGTATCCAGGCTGCCTCCCTTTAGGGTGGGTAGCACTCAAACCCATTGTGGGGCACCCTTAATCCTAACCAGACTGAGGACAAGCCAGTCATTGAACTAACATAGTGATCACACATCCTTAATCCCAGCTTCACACACTGTAGATCCAGCCATTGATCTATAACCCATCAAGGAGTGTGATTGTGTTACAAGTTTATTGTAAAATAATTTTAAGGACTTATATGTATATCATGCACAAGGCCTGGGTTCAGTTGCTAAAACCATAAATAATAAAGTAGTTTTAACTTGTATTTTTAGCTTTAAAGAAAAAAATCTTATATTATTTTGACATTTAGTTATTAGCCTTTTATGTGTGTATTTTGTTCTTAGGTCCTGGTAGCCCTCATTGTATTGTGTGATAGCATTTCATTCTAGGTATACCATCTAATTAGAAGAAAGTCATGTCTTTTCTATTTTTTTTTTCATAAACCTTTTTGACATCTAATGGCTTTAAATAAAGTAGCCTTGAGTATATTACATTAAAACTGCTCTGTTCCTATGAATTCATTTAATAGGGATTCTTGTGTACCTTTAGTATCATTGCAGTTAGAGTATAAAAGCACCTTTAAGTGATTTAATAAAAAATCACTTTTAATTCTGAAGCTCATGATTTTTAAAATCCACTCTGCAGGTTATAAATCTGCTTCCCCCGTTTAGTCCACCTCTTCCTTTTTATCTTAACTGATGTTTAGATGAACCATAAAAATACCAGTTGGTTGTTTTGCATTTTCTGCTTTTAGACTTTTTCATGAAAAGTAGGTTAACGCTGTAGTGGATTTTAGATCTTGGGTTTAGAGTGTTGATCCACAAAAAGCTTGTATGAACAATTGGAAGTTGGGAGCAGTAAGTGCTGAACATTAAGCTTTCAGCCTCCAGCTGGGCACTACTGATGTGTCCCCCTTCTCTAGACACATTTGTTCGTAGTCAGTTGCATAGCAATTAATACGCCAGTTGCATAATGGCAGATGTCATCACATTAAAATTCTCCATTGATAGAACTCAGTAAAGATGAAGTTTTTGGCTGTGGATTTATTAGAAGAGCACCTGTCTACCATGTGAGAGGTGCTGGTTTTATCCTTAGCACCAAATTAATTAATTAATTAATTATTTTTTTAAAAATTACAGGGCTTATCAGAAACTCTTAAAAGGGTATTATTGTTCAGATAAGATAGGATCATATCAGTGATTTTTATCTTATCCTTTTCTGCTATTGGTTAGAAACCTGATATTTAAATATATTCCATAATTGGTTCAAAGTTCTATAGCTTGTGAGTTCAACCAAAGGTATAATTTCAGTAACCTAATTTGAAAAGTTATTTGTACGAATGCTTAATAAAGTTACAGATATTTTTCCAGAATGCTTTCAATTAAAATATATAATTGAATAAAATACCACTAAGTATTATAATTATGTGCAGTATATATAGAAATGTTCAGTATTATAAAAGTGAGATTATATTGATAGACTTTGAGGCTTGCCTTGAACTAAAGAAACAAATGTGTTGTAGTCAAGTTTGCATGTTAACAAAAGGCATGTGAAAATAGTTTACACACATGGAGTTTTATGTATTTTTTTACTAATAAAAAATTATATTTACTTAGAAGCATGCAGAATGTCAACAGAGCAATTGCAACTTTTTTTTTTTTGCAATTACAGAGTGGTATTCAGTTAACAGAACAACAGTTATATTACCTGCATCAGAGACAACTGAAAATGAAAAACTAGTGTCCCCATATATAACTAATTTGTGTTGTGCAGCAATAAGAACCTGCATTAAATTTCCATGCCAATATATAACCCCCATACTGCACCAGGCAAGGTTATTGGCCATTGAAAATACCACCAGGACAGGACTATCTAAAGATGCATTCACGGGCCAGGGAGATAGCTCGGCAGTCTAAGTGCCTGCCTGGCAAGTGCAGGGACCCAGTTCAGTCCCTGGTACTGCATGCTGTGCCAACCTGGAACCTGTAATCCCAGTGCTGGAGAGACTGAAATGGAAGGGTCACTATGAGTCCGAGCAGTGTAGTGAGACCCTGTACCAAATAAATAAAAATAATAATAAAAATAAAAGACACATTCAATAGTGTGTTAACTATAAAAAAAAAAGGCACTGTACAATTTAAAAACAAATCTTACACAGCCTTACATTTTTTTTCCTTCAAAAGGAGTTGTGTACAGGGTGGCTAAGTGTTTCATAGACAAGAAAAAAAACTGCGCTAGAACCAACTTATTCATTATCTTCCTCTTCCTCATCCTCTTTATCTTATTCCTTATCCTCATCCTCCTCTTCCTTCTTTTTGCTTTTTTCAGCCTTCCCGACTACCCTTGTCACTGCATCAGGTTTTCCTTTAGCCCAGTAGGCAGCGAAGTCCTTTTCGTGCTTTTTCTTCAGCTTAGCAACCTTCTTCTCATAGTGCTGCTTGTCTTCTGCTTCAGTATTCTATAGTTCTCCAAGTTTCTTTGTGCCATCACCAGTGGAGAGGCCAGGATGTTCTCATTTGATTTTTGGGCGATACTCAGGACAGAACAAGAAGGAAGCCGAAGGAGGCCTCTTGGGCGCATTGGGATCCTTGAACTTCTTTTTGTTTCTTATTTAGGAGGAATATAAGTTTTCATTTCTCTTTCATAACGAGCTTTGTCTACATTTTCCATGTCTTCATATTTTCCTTTTTCTTTAGCAGACATGGTCTTCCACCTCTCTGAGCCCTTCTTAGAAAACTCTGAGAAGTTAATAGAAGCATCTGAGTGTTTCTTACTGTGCTTCTCTCGGCAGGTTAGCACAAAGAATGCATAGGCTGACATTTTGCCTCTCAGCTTCTTAGGCTCTCCTTCGCCTGTGTTTACTTGTTTTCCTCAGTGAGGTACGGAGTCACCCAGTACCTATCCAGTTCTCACTTGCCCCTTAACTGTCTCTATGGAGCTCAGTGTACTACAATGGCTGTCCACATGTAGAGTTTTAAAAAATATATTTTTTGCTGAATATAGTTGGGGATTATTTGATGGGGGATATAGAACACTTGCCTAGCATGCATGCGACTCTAGGTTAGATCCCCAATGTGGAAGGAAAAAGTAAAGGAAAAGCAAGAAATCTGAGTAATTTTGAAATATATTATTTAATAGGAATTTTGAGGCTATTTTTAGAGTTGATTTAGCAGCTCACTAAGGTCACCAGGAAAAGTCTTCGAGTCTTTTTATTTTTTTTTTAATTTTTTATTTTTTAGTCTTTTTTCAGTCTTCAAGTCTTTCACCTTTTTCTTAGTTGCTGTCTTTGGCTGGCTGGGTTGGTCTTGCATTTATCATGTAATGATCACAAGATTGCTGCCACAAGTTCCAGATTTGTCACATGAAGACATATTATTAGCTGATCCTAAAATAAGGGCACCTGAGAGGTCATTCTTTTCCTTTGTTGAAGAAGTAAGCCACTCCTGTAAGATTCCCAAGAGACTTCCCTTAGGCCTATGGTCACATAGCCAGCCTAATCCAAAAGTTGGCAAAGGGACTAGAATGTCTTTGTTAAGACTAGGGGTTCTCAGGGCCGGCCAGATAGCTCAGTGGATTAAAGAGCCTGCTGAGGCAGATGCAGGAGCTGGGGTTCAATCCCCAGCATGCTGTGCTGGTCCCACCCCACCCCCAGGGGCGCGGGCTGAGACTGGGCATGGTGGCACGCCTATAATGCCATCACTTGGGAGCCTGAAAACAGGAGAATCACTATGAGTCTGATCTGTGTAGTGAGACCCTGTAGACCCTGTACTGTAGTAAAAAAAATTTTTAAATTATCAACCAGTTTAAAGTATATGGGGGGAACTACCCGCTCAGGCCCCCCTCTTGACCCACTCTCGGACAAGTGCTTTCTTTCTCTCAATAAATATATTCTGCTCATAAAAAACAAAAGACCAGGGGTTCTCAAAGTTCACATGTGTCAAAGTCATCTGGAAAGTTTGATAAACACGAATTGCTGGGCCCCACCTGGCCCCTGGAGTTTCTGATTCAATGGGCAGGAGTGGGGCCCAACCAGGTGGTCATTTAACCAGGTAATATGGGCTGTGCAGGTCCACTCCCAGGCCTTCAGACCTACTTAGCCTAATCATTATGTGCACATGTGATGAACAACTTAGAAGAAAAGTTTACATTTGCTCATTGTTTCAAAGTTTTGAGTTCATGGTTGATTAGGTCCATTGCTTTCAGGCCTGTGGTGGCGTAGGGTATCATGACCCTAGTGTATAGTAGAGGAGGCCTGTTCATCCTGTGGTGGCCAAAAAAGCCAAGAAAAAGACAAGTTCAAGGTCCCCTTTC